TGTAGGAACTTACATTCGCCCAATATTATTACTATAATGTTTAATACATATACACACATTTATATACACACCCCATAACTATTATAAMGACAAGACTCAAACGCAAACAAGAGAGTTTGCAGTTAAATTGAATGCAGACCCTCGCATCAYGGCCCTCACCACGGGWMGCTCATGTGGCCTGTTGATGTTGGGGATGGACAAAAAGTTTAGGATCCGAGGGGTATGAAAAGACCATATTTATATCACACGTAAATACACATTCCATTGTATAATAGATGTGTATATTTGTTGTTCACATACGTTGAGATACGAGCATAATGATTAGGGGTTGTTAGCAGGTGTTTGTTATAATAATACGTGTATATGTTATATTATTATGTGTAGACGGCGTCGTCAGTTCTTAAAATTTCGTCCCGCCAGTCGGGCGCCGCGCACCGGTATGCGATTGGGTGACTATGTCGAGACCMGAAAATGACACAAAGAAATTCCTRAGGAGTGACGTTTTTAAAAATGTTCATCGTATCGCGTTACCTACGATTTATTACACYAGTACGCAGTATATTGTTAGGATATATACTACCATACGCGATGCGTATATATACGAGTATGCAGGTACCTATACCGTATGTCAAAATATAAAATATGTTAAAAAACTGAATATTTAGTTTTCATTTTGACAATTATAGATGAGTCCTAGGTACTTTATTGTTTTTCGTTGGCCAAATCTAAACAATAATCCACATGTTTATGACGTCACACGTCAGTAGCACTATTTTCCGTCCTGTGACAAAGACCGATACCACATAGTTCTTAAGTCACCGAGTTGACATTTTTCACCGGTTTTAAAATTCTTATAATATGTTATAGACAATAAAATATATTTTTTGTGAGTATCTCGACAAATATCTCGATTTTTTTTTATACACTTCATAGTTACATATAATATCTGTCGTAGTTTTCATAAAARTTTTATAATTATGTTCAATTTAAACTGTCTGACTGTGAGTGATAGGTTGTATGTATACACATCTATAAGTTCTGAAGTTTTGCGAAAAAATCTTTAACCTAACAATATATTTTTAACATTTTATAAAAAATGTATGCTTAAATCACGAATATAATGTTATCAGTCACTGGAATCTTTGTGATTTTTAAGCTTCAATTTCTGTTTGAAAGTTATGAAATTGAACATTTTGATAAATCTATTTAAAATTTAATTTTACATCCGATGGTCACAGACCCACTGATAGTTAGTTTATTTATTAATAACAAAAAAGACAATTAAATCTAAAAAAACATTGTACCTAATATAAATTTAATCAAAATATATGTATTTATTTTTTACTCATATTACTGTATTTATCTTTTTGTGTTTATAAAATTGTTTTTAAAAATCCGAACATTTAACAAAAATATAGAATTAAAAATTTCCAAATTTTAAAATAATTCATACTGTAAAGAAAATATTATAATATCTTTTTAACGTTAGATGGTTTATAATATATTATATTAAATAAATGTATATATATATATATATATATATATGATAAATAAGTACTCACATAGTCATGAAACGCAGTACCAACAAATTGATGCTGGCAGCAACGACAGCTAGTCCAAACAAAATGAACACCAAACTAAGTGCAACGTACCCTGGCATTGTCGTCAAGGCTTGATCGTTCTGAAACAAAAAATATAAGTACGTGTAATATTAATAGTTGTATTAAAGCAACAATAATATCATACTATACTGGTATGAAATACTTTCAGGTCTTCAGGATATCTATCATATAATAATATTGCAGTCATGCACTCATACACAATATACATACTACGTAAAAATTTTGAAGTAACAAATCAAATTATTTGTAAAAAATAATCAAATTTTTACTGAGTAAACGTGTGTAAAATTATTGTAGAGATAAGATGTATTGTATATAAGTATACTTATACAGCGGTGGCCGTTTAGTAATCACTTCGGTACAGGATAAAATATATATCATAAAAGCAACTGAAAATCCTACCAAAAAATAAAATATGTATCTATGTCATACAGCCTGTAATTACACTTTTCAATAATAATAATATACGATTGATAACATTAACCGTGATTATTATAATCGGTGAGCCGGTGACTACTGTATATTATACATCTGATAATATATATCATATATTATACATCTGAATTTTAATTATATAGTAATTTTAGTCAATGTGATAGATAAAGTTA